CCCCCCCCCCCCTCCTTCGCCCCCATAAGACCCCAAACCTCGTCCACTGCCTCGCCGTGCCTTCTTTTTTCTTCCTCGTCCACCCTACCATGGCCACCATTCCCAACGACAACTGTCAGCTCGGCCGGTCAACCCACCCCTACCGCTCCTATCCCTCTGGGCGCGGGCAACACTGGCAGAAGAGCCGCCTGGCCATCCTGGTAGTCTGAGCAGGATCCTGCCTCGTTCCTCTGTGCGAGGCCTTCATGAACAAGTCTGGGGCCTCGGCTGGGCTCAATCCCTCCCAGACGTTCATGGAGCCAAACACAGCATGAGTTCGAGGTCAGGCTGCACACGAAGACACCACGATCGCCGGCGCACTCGGCCAGTGTGTCCTGACCCAAAACAAGAGGAGCCCTCATCGCCTCACATCTAACCGCTAGGATGGTCGTCGGCTACGATAGCTCTTACTTCCTCACCATCTGACTTTGGTAAGTACGAATTCTGATCCATCCTCGTCGCGGCAGCGCCTGACGCGAATGACGACGCTGACTCCAATAATCACCCTCGTTCACCTTCAGCTCGAGGCAGCCAGGAGCCACAACCTTTGCTCCCTTGCAATCGAGCTCGCGGGCATTGTCTTATCGCTCGTCGGAGGGGGGCAGTCTGCAGCGTCAAGGAGACCTCGCTGTGCCTGGCTTGTGTGATGGACCACAAGGACTGTAGCTATGCACACGTACGTACCTCCTCACCGCTACAGTAGGTAGCAATAGGTGCTGACTCAGCTTCTTACCCCCTCGCCCTGCCCGCAGCAACATGGAACACCAGCAGCGAAGATTACAGCTCCTCTTTCGACGGGCCACTTGGAGATCAGACTTGATCACGCCAGCCCCATCGAAGCCCATCCACCTTTCATCGGAAGCCTGTTGTGTCCGGTCGAGAGTCTGCCACAGTACTTCAACGCCGCATAAGAGTCAGCATATCTCAACCCAGATACAAGCAGCTCCAGCAGGCACACGCAAGGACAAGCTTGCCTAGCTAATTACACACTCTGTTCTCTTGCGCCCACTCTCACTACTCTACTTGCGAAGCATCACGCATCCTCAATGCCATTCCCTTTCTCATCAGCATTCATCCTCACTATGTCCTTCAAAGACTGGCCGCTGGATATTACAGAGGTACCTTGCCCTGGTGGTGCCGGGGGGGGCGTAAGCTATTTTCCGTGCGAGGTGAAATCTTCGGGTACCGCTGCTCCTGGAGGGGGGCATCGTCCTGCCCTGTCGTCGTCCTGCCCTTTCACCTCTTCTGTGGCTTCAGCGCCTTGGCCGCCGTTGCACTTTCCCCAGTCCTGGCCTTTTTGGTCGCAACTTGCTCTGTCTCGCTTGGCGTAGCAACATGCTCAGATAAGGTATCTGCCGCTGCCACTGCTCCTCGTCACTCGCGTTCTGATGCCGTGGGCATCTCCACCACCTCGTCCACCATGGCTACTCCTCCACGCCCTCATCCGCACTGACATCGAAGAAGGGGCAAAGGCGGGAAAAGGATTCAGAAGCGCTCTACCATTGGCAAGAGAAGGACAAGAGGCGCCACAGGACCCGCAATATCCCCAGCACTCCTACCGCATCCTCTTCAACCCAGACAGTCTGGGTGGTTCAGCAATGGAAGAGAGGGAATAGGATCATCGTGCTGGCCCTTTCCCTCGCAAGGGTTGATTCAGAGAGGAGAGTGCAAGGCTGGGCTTCTTGGCTGGCCTGGCTTTCACTGCACAATGCCCGCTTCTTCGGTACCAGGATCGGTAGGGCGATATAATGGGCAACGAAAACAATCCCTCTCGGGCCTTCCCAGCCAGAAGAGCTGAGCGGGGTGGTGAGCATGGCAGAGCAGAGCAGCAGGGAAGCATGTCTTCTGGCAGCTGGCCGTGCTTCATGCAAAGACTTCCAGCGTATGCTGCTTCAACTCTTGAAAAAGGCAAAGAGGGAAAGCAAGTGGAAGAGCACGTCTTCGTTGCTTCCTCGTTCCTACAACTGGACCGAGGCGAGCAGCAGGAGCAGAAGCGGGAGGGGTACCTACTCGGTGTACGGGGGATGTACCTTTCGGTTGTGCGTCGTTGCTGTTGCTGTTACTGTTGCGTTTGCTGGGAGGAAGAATACTTCTGGCATCGCGCAAGGGAGGTGAGACTGTATCTCAACGCTTCGTACAGCACCACTGTGACAATGCAGCAAAGTCTAGCCAATGTTCCCTACCCATCCGTGTCAGTGTCAATCAATACAGAGTGGATGCTGTGTTTATCGCGATGGCCACCTCGCCCCATGGGTCGGGCGGTACAGTACCTCTTTTGACGACCATTGTCGAGCAATTTCTTCGTCGCCAGAACAGCTGTCCGGTCAATCGCGCCCAGCCTGTAGAAGCGGAACAAACTTACAGACCACTATGAACATGTGCAGAATCACTCTCGTACATTTGTCAACCACCTGTCAAACGTTTTGCACCGAGTTCCGAACCGTTTGGGGTTTGGCAGGCTGCTTGGCGAGGAGTTTCGCTACATGGTATCAAGATTTCAACGGGAGTGACCGTCAGAAGCATGTCTAATCATAATGAGCACATACTGAGCTGCACTGTAGACGTTACAGCTCGTCACATGGAAGCCATCTGCTGCGCTTCCTCTGGCGATTGTACTGGTTTATCAAGACACGAAGAAGGCTCGCTTCCAGTCTCTTCCTGTGACTACAGCTCTTGCTCAACATCCGTTGTATCAAAACTGGCTGGGACTCTATAGTGCACTGCTTTCTACACTATTGTGACGAGCAGCATTCTTACTGTTGATCTCTTGGCTTGCTCCGTTGCCGTTGCTGTTGCTGTCGCCATCGCTCTCGCTGTCATCATGTACAGACTGTAAAGCATCTTGTGCAACGTGTTTTAAAGGCAGTGAACGCTTTTCAAGTGCCACTCTCATCCGGCGACGAGTCTTCTCCTAGCCAAAACCTGCACTTTGTCTGTTCCGATTCTCATCAGCTGTGCTTCAATGTAGTGTCTTGGGTGGTTTTGTGAGCGAGCCTTTCCTCTGCTGACTCTTGTCTTTACTGAACCGAAAGACCCAATGAGCAACATTGAATTCAGGAGTGTACGGTGGCAAGAAAGGTATCTTCGTGACCACACTTTCTTGCAGCTTCGATAGCCTCTCTGCTTTTGTGGAAACTGACATTGTCCATGATCAATGTACATTTCCGTAGACCTGTGGCGTTGCAATCCTGGCTGCCATTCCTTTTCCAAGAAGTCAGAGAAGCGATACCTGTTTGTACCATCAAGGTGTGTGGGAGCTGCTACAACTCCTACAGCAGGAATGACTGCTACAGCGAGTGTCATGTTCTTGTCTCTCGTCTTAGTGACTGGCTGTACAGCTCTGCCTCGTCGCCTGGTCATACTCAGATTAAAGGCTGCTTCATCAATGTAAACAGCATCTCTGAATCGTACCTCGCCTCCTAGATTGTCACTGCACCATTGAAAGCGCTGCTGTACCTTAGCAGGAGTGTTTCGCTCTTCGCTGACGCTGTACAGCCGCTTGATGTGGTAGTGTTGACCTGCAAGCGCTCTGCTGATTGTACAAAGACTGGTTGGCCTTTGGAATTGACACTGTAGCACCAGCTGTGCCAGATCCTAGCGTTGCCATTGGGTCCGAATCAATCAATGAAGCGAAGCAGAGATTGCTTGACTTTGTGCGTCATTACAATCTCTTTCCTCTTACCTCCAGTCCTGCGTCGTTCAATGACACCGTGGTCTTCAAAGCGACGTACAATGCCATGAATCGTACTCTTTGCAGTGCAAAGGTCCCGTGAAACTTCAGCGATCGAGTCAAACTCGTCAATGATCTTCTCTATGACTAGACGTCGTAGGTCCGTCGCTGATTGGTTGGTTTGGCCTCCTGCTGTGAACAGGGCTGTCTGTGGCTTCGTCAGAGGAAGCAGGCATGATGTACAGTGTGGTGTGGCTGAGAAGCGAGTAGGGAAAGTAAAGAGCAAAAAGGCATGACATTCCGAGAGAGGGTAGTCGAACAGGACTGTGTGGTAGTGGACCAAAAGTTAAGGGAGGTGGAGGGCACACCCCTGCAGCTCGCTTGTACGTCCTTGAGATAGCCATATACGAGGTTGATCTTCGCATGATTCACCCTCTTGCAGATCTTTTCGAGCTTGCTGTTCGCCACTGGCAATGGCAACTGGTCGATCATGCACGCGCTCGTCACAATACAGACCTGGGCGACGGTCGTCGGCAGAAGGGGGTACATCAGAGAGCGAGGGGCGGTCTTTGCTAGTCTGCTTGGCTGCGGAGATGGATTGGAAGCGCACAGGCACAAAGAGAGGACATGAGGACGGGCACAAAGGACACATGGAGGGGGAAGTACACAAGCCACAGGGGCCAGAGGTCACGATGAGGGCAGAGGGAGCATATAGAGGGAGCATGTAGAGGGAGCATGTCGAAGATGGTTGGGTCGATCGAGGACCGACTTTTGTGAAGACGGTGACTTGACGGATTGGGTAAGGGAGACTGTTGCAGAGCCATTTTCTCGAGCCAAGTGACTGCTGAACGGATGCGCAATTCAGTAGGCTGCTGCCCACTCTGTCTTCCAAGTCATCTCGGCTATGCCGAAGTACACGGAAAGAATTGCTGTTGGGGCGTTCATCACTGCCTCGCCTTGCGCCATATGTAAGAGGACCCTCAAGCCTACTGTACCCCTTGCCCTTGTACTTCCGACAATAGCCGCTTCTTTGTAATTGTGCACAGATAGACTCCGGGGCTGAGCGTCCCCACAATATTGAATCCGTTGCGATGCTGGTGCAGTGGGCCATAGCCGATGTAGCTTCACCAAGGGGAGGATCAGCCAGGGAAGGAAGACCGGCTTGTGACGAGTTCGATCGAGCCAGAAGGACTTGAGGTGACACAGATGCCTCATTGTGGGCACATGCAATGAAGGAATAGAGTGAGATCGAGAAGTCGGCTGACGGGCTTCGAGTCGAGAAGTGCACGAAGTTGTGTGAGATTCTGTCGCTGTCTTCTCCCTACTCCTTCTTGATTCCGATAGATCTTCGAGGCCTCGATGACCCTGTCCTGAGCTGTCCTGGCGCTGGTTCCAGAAGCTTCTTCCCCTCCGACCAGCTGCCTTGTTACCAAAAGCCGCGCCTGAGAACTTCATTAGGGGCTCCTGTGCAGGCTAGGTGGGCTTCTTGTATCCAAAGTCTTGCAGCCAGACGATGGAAGTCCTGAAGTGGAAGGCAAACACTTTTTTTGTTCTATCGGTTCCTCGATTGATCTCACAGTGCAGCCGAAGGCAGCTTGGACACTCTTGATCATTCCCCGCAGCCGATGAGACTTCCACCGCCTGCGTCCAGAACCACGCTTCTCCCTCTGCTCCGGCTGAGAGTGCAGGGCGTGGACTTGCCAAGAGTTCACCTCTGCGGCATCGTCTTCCCAGGCTTGGGAGCTTGCTAGGTCATTGCTGCTGCTGATAATGCGGCCGATGATGGCCGTCATCTGTCCTGGTGAGTCTGCATACCATACGCGAGCAGTGGCCAGGAAGAGGAAGAGGATGCAGAGTGGGCCGCCTGGTGCCAGTGGTAGATTGTCTGCTGCGACCAGACGCTGGACGCTCGCGCTGCTTGAGTGGAGCACATCTTTGGCTGCCTCACCTTTTCTCGTGCCGCTGCTGCAGAGTGGCTTGGACGTGCGTGCAGCCGAGGTGCGCCGCGCCACACCTCGTCGCTTGCACAAGGCCACTGGCGCGCCGCCCTCTGTCCTCCCAGGAAGACCGTCGTGCCATCGAGTGGAGCACGCCGAGGCTGCAGCCGAGGAAGACGTGGTAGAGAGGTGGTGGTGGTGGCAGGAAGCACGCCAGTAACAAGACGTTCCAGAAAGTGAGGCAAGAGGGGGGAGTCACTCGCTTTCCGCCTTGCCACGTGCACAGAACAGCGCGCGACCGGAACGGAGCAGAGCCGATCTCCAGCCGTGCGAGGCTGGAGACCGTACCGTACACAAGCCGGATCCCACTGCCAGTCTTACGGATAGCGTTCCAGCAGATCGATGACGGTCACTTGGAAGGGTCTGTGAGTGAGACTAGGCGCCGACGCAAATAGACTACGCCGTGCCCATCCCCAAGGCAGTACTGTAGTCTACGCGCGCGGTGAGCTCCGACCAACGCCACGAAACCTCGCTTGCAGCCTAGACTAACGTCCACGCCTCGCTTCGCTCTTGGTGCGTGGGGAGTGATGCAAGACACAGGGAGACAGAGCATCTGTATCAGGCAGTACACTATCTAAAGAAAGGTTCACCCCTCACCGCAGATCATCGGCGCATCCACTTCGCAGGACCGGAAGCCTAGAAGAGATGATGGCCGCTGCGAATCGGCCCCCTGTTTTCCGCCTCGCCCTGCTCTCGCTTCCGTTCTGTGGCTGCGCGCTTCTCCCGTTTTGTTAGCTCCCAAATCGCATGCGCGCTCTCTTATGGAACAGCACCCATCTTCGCCCCTGGCGTCCACTTCCTGTGTACCACCTCTCATCTCTTCTGACACAGCCAACCTATGATTGGTTCACGCCTCAGCGCACCTCGTTTGACGTCGCCTGAAGTCGCCTCGCCTGCGCAAGCCATCTCATCAGGGGAGAAATTGCAGCCAAGACTACCGGGCAGACGCATCCGACACTCGTCAGCAAGGGGAAAAGCGCACCGAACCACTGCTCTTACTGCTCTTTCCCTTTGCGAGGAAAATATGCTTAACCACACGCGCGGTAACAAGAAGCGACGAGCGACAACGACGCGACAAGAAGCGAGGAGGCCGTTCAGAACCTACTTCTCCTGCCTCTTCACCATTGCGCCGGTGCAAGCGACTGCTACTGTCATACTTGACGCCCTCATCTTTCTCCGGCCAGAGAAGCACTTCTGCCTTTTGCGCCGCTCATGCCTAGCACGCCCCCTCTCGACGAATATTGTAGACCGATCCACATCATCGCCGTGGCATAAGCTTGCCTCTCGGACTTGAGCCAAGCCGATACGGCCCAGCGCGTTTCAGTGGAGCGCACCGACACCCAGTGCCATCTCAGTCCGATTACTCTCTGTTGCACTTGGACTACCCCCCGACGGACCAAGTGAGCCAAAGCAAGGCCAGAGGTGCCTACTTGCCACTCATGCCAAGGGGCCACTTCAGGTCAAACGAGAGCCAAGAAGAGGCTGCTGGGCATCCTCGAGCGAGTGCCAGCCGCAAGCATAATACGGAGCGAAAAGCTGACAAACATGGCACCGTGGTATCGCAAGCGCGTGGACTATGCACACCATGCGGGCCTCAATGATCTCTATCGTAGCCTCCCTCCCGTTGCAGTGGGCTCTTCACGCCTCGTCCAGTGGAAACTGCCGAGTGCAGCATACCGAAGCGTATCCTACCGTCCCCAGGACGCAAGTCGTCCTTCGCAGCATGTAGCATAGCAGGCGACTTCAGAGGCCCCGTAGCAACAGCAGCAAGGACCTCGTCCCTCGTCTGATGATGATCAATTCCGTCGCCCAGTCGCATCATATTGCTCATTTGCTTCATCTTGCCCACTCGCGGCTGGGAATCTCATACGGACTTAGCCCTGAAGCGGACGAAACCTTTTCTCCACCAGTCGGTGCCTGGACGGAACACGGGCCTCCGTCCGAGGCGTCCAAGGGGCGCAGGTACGGACCTGACCCCTCCTCGGTGCAACTCTCCATCCGTTGCTCGCTCCATTGATTGCTCTTGCGGCCTTAGCACAAAAGACGAGGCAAATCGAACACCGCATTGTTCCATCTCTGACAACTTTCTTCCAGCTCAGATGCAGAGACGGCCGCTCTCGGACACAACCACACTCGTTTCACCTACATTCCGACCTTACGACTCAACCGCCCGACTTCAGCCAAAGATTCCTCGTCTTCTTCAGCCCTCTCGCTCCACTGACAAGCTACCGAGCCATACCATGCGATTCTCACTTGGCTCACTCTGGCGCAACTGGAGGCAGCCCCACGACACTGAGGACTTTCGATGGCTTCCCAATCAGCCCCCTCGCAATGGGATCATAGCCTCCACTGGAGTCGCATGTGGGAGATTTGCCAACCAGAGCTCAGAGTTCCTGCACCTCGTGTACGAGTCTTCTCGATTAGCCCTACCCCCTCCACCCGCACTTTCATCCTTCGAGCCCCCTCCCTCGGCTCGATACGCGGAGGTTGCCTCCGCTCGACCTACTCGCCTTTGGACGTCTCCTACAGACCCCAACTCGCAGGCCTGCAGTGGTCAATTCCGAGCGGCCTGCCATATCAACTTTGCCGACTTCTGCTGCTTCAACTGGACTCCATCCGCGAGCACGAATCCCTTCAAGAAGGGGCTCAACAAGGCATGCGCTGCCCTCAGCGCCGGCGCCAACTCAATCGTGCGCTTCACCGGATTGGGGAAACTTCTGTCTCTCAAGGCCAATGCTCGAAATTACTGCTGGCGATGCGGGGAGCTCTTTTGCGACGCTCACCTACAGGACTACGCCACCCTGTTCCTCGCTTTTGAGGATGTATTGTCAATGACAGCGCACCTGCACGCTATGCAGCTCCCCACATGTGGCCGCATTGACGGCACGTACTTACTTTTCCTTGCGGACGGACGCGTCTTGGTTCGACAACGAGTGTGTGCCGACTGCCACGAAGCGGTGGTGATGGCCAGAGCCCGAGAGACGGCCTGGGTGGCAATGGAGAGTGAAAGGCGCAGGGAGAGGCAAAAGATGCGAAGATGGGAGGCTGAGCAGAACCGACGACGGGTTGAAGAATTCAGCGGCAGGATGTAAAGTGGCACAGAGACATAAGTGGGGGGCCCAAAGCAAGGCTCTCTCTCGGCTTCTTCTGCGCCTGCCACTATATCTCTTCTTCCTGTCCCAAGAAGCTGGATCGGCGCGCTAGTCAAGATCTATTCTGGGAGTGGACCATGGAAACCAGCGCCTCTTCTTCTCTATGGCGGCGACTGATCCGCAACGCTACAGCGCTTACTACGGCGCCACGTCTGTGATGTACTGTGCGAGTTACCTGTCAACACGCCTCTTGCGTGCCTTCTACCTTTCTTCCGAGTCAAATAAAGCCGCTCTCTTGTCTTGTCTTCGTGTGCCTAAGTCTACACTCGCTCGTGACACACAATGGCTCCGCTCCAGCAGCTGGAGTCGCTTGCCCATCACTAGCGAAACGTAGGAGGAGAAGGCAAGCAGATACCAGACCCTCACGGGCCACGATGACCAGTGCAGCCGCCTCTCCCGTCTGTCCAGTGCCTACGAACTCGCTGTGCTCAGCTGCACACGAGCCGAGCGACATCTCGGTGAGTCGACAGAAGAATGAATGGTCAATTTCGAAACGACGAGGTGCTCATTGGCGTGTATACATGAGGGGAAAGACTCTACGGGCGCAAACCATACAAAGCATTGTACTGCCGACAGTCCAGAGGATTCTGTATGGCTTCAGCTCCTTCGAACTCAAGTCTCGCGTCGTCGTGTCCTGGATAAGGAGCTCCTGCACTTCAGATCGAGATTGCTTGGGCCAGAGAATGGAGACGTTTGCGTTGATGATCTGAGAGTGATTCCAGACGAGGGGGTCAGCTGTACATCTTCCGCAGTGCTGGACGCCAATCCACTCGCGATCTTTGTACACTTTGCTGTGCGCTCTCCTAGACTCACCTCTTGGTGCCTGGCCATCGTGCGTCCTGGACAGTCTCCAATGGCCCTCACCAGACCAGTGGCAGCACGAAACAGCTTCGGTATGCCCGGAATATCATCTCTTCGTCCTCCATCATCTGATTTTGCATGCCACATGATTCATGTTCAGGAGGTGTTGGCTCGGTCTTGAGCATCTGAGAAGGAGCATGGACTTCTTCGTCTGGCTCCAAAGGCGTTCTCTTTCTGCGCCTTCGGATCTCCTCGCAGAGCTTCGAAATTGCCGCCCCGTCCGGCCCCTCCTGGGTCAAACGCTCTTTCGGGGAGCTGAAGCTGAACTTCGTAGGCCACTGGTAGATGGGAGGGGAGGTCGTACTGGTTGTTGATGAGTCAGGCTCTGGTATGTCCCAGGGATGTCTCGCTTTGGGGGGTGTGGGCGGCGGCTGAGAGTCTGCTACTCCAAAGGATGGGTTTATGGGCAGAGAGGTGACAGCTCGAGTTCGTTGGCCCGTGAGGTTGTGCACTGCCCGTTTGAGTACAGTGGTAGCCTTAGATGCGGAGGCGGCATGCCTTCGAGGGTGCTGCGTTGTTGGCCCTGCCGCTGGACAAGACGAAGGCACAGCAGGAGACCAAAGAGAGGTACATGTTCGAGTGAGTGTGGGACCGTTGGGAAGCTGATGGCCACGGAAGACTCACCTGTGGCCTCGTTGCCGGACGATGCCATGGAGGGAGACTAGGAGCACTGCTGGCGCGGCGGTTGCTCTGGTGGCCAATCGAGGTATGGAGGTGGTATGTGAGCTACGAGTGCCAAGGACTAGGATGGTGTGGGAAGAGACGAGCCATCGCATTGCGAACACGCCAGCTCCTCTTGAATTCAGGCACGAGGACACACAGGGACACTGCCTCGCGTCTTCCAGGAGAGCAATCCTGTACTGTACACATCAGTGCGTCGACGGATGGCAGGCTTTGCTGGCCGTAGCGGATAGCAGCTACAGAAGGGTGATTGGGGTGCGCGACCTTGCCGCTTCATTCGCCTTGTATCCCCGGGGGATGCTTGTCCCTTGGTATAGAGCCAGGTAGAGTTCAGTGGCGCTGCCCATCGAGCTTTGCTGCCTGCGCCGCATGTGTGGCGCCCTTTCAGCCACAGGAGCAGGGGGCGCATGCACCACTCCCGACAGCCTCTCTCAGAGGACGACCTCACTGCCTCGCCTCACGTCAGACTCCCCTCTGCCGCCCTTTCCCAGCTTCGAAACAGCATACTCGCACTCCCTCTGGGGCCCAGGGATGGCGGCATCACGACAGCAACACCCTTGGTCAAGCGCAGCAGATGAAGAGAGCGACCCAGGAGGTGAGCCTGCCTGCACGTCCAGATCCCCCAGTGAGAGACAATCAGGCTGCTGCCCCCAGCCGACCATGCAACGCGACGAAGACCGGCCATACTGCCAGGACAAGACGCTGGACGAAACGGATGAAAAGCAGCTGCCAAGCAACATTGCCTTCTCCAACCATGCTGATCTGGCAAAAGCTCCCAAAGAAGGCGACATTTGCGGTACTCTCGACGAGATCCTCAAGGCATGCACGACGCCATTCAACAAGGCAACATGGCATGACCGGATGAAGGATTTGGAGGAGCACATGCACCGAATTGGGGTGGAGGAAGGACTCCCCTTGGGCGGTGCTGCGTACCTCAAGCACTTCCTCGAGGAGCTAGATCAGAGACTTGCAGCTACTGTCTGCAGCATCTTTGGTGAGGCCGCACACGACGACCGTCTCCACAACTTGGCCCAGGAATCGGGACGATTTGGACACAAGCTATTGCGAATCCTTGAGAAGCGACTTCAGCCCGAGGGCAGCTGGGAAGAGCTTTACCTGTTGTGGCGTCTCAAAGAGCTGGCGCTGTCCCAGGGCAAAGTCGATGATGCCATCGGACGGATTGAAGCGTTAGCGTTTCACGCCTCGCAGATCGGTGCCTCCCATCTCGGAAACACTCAAGTGCTCCGTCCTCCTCAGTATGACTGGCAAGCAGCAAAAGTTCCTCTCCGCATGGGAGCTTCGACAGATATCATCATGCAGCAACTGGGACATCGTCTCTCGGACGCTCTCTTGGGCAGAGCGAACTTGCAGCCGGGACGGAATGCCTCGACGAGCACAGCACTAAGAGCGTCGACACCGGTCCTAAAATGTGCCTTGGCATCCGCTTCTGAAAACCTCGCGCATCCACACGAGCTTCCTTTCTTTCTGCACTCTGTCCACTGCACCAAGAGTAGAGCTGGCCGCTTCCCCGAGCTTCTCGCATGAGGTCTCCTTCCTCTCGAAAGGAACCGACCTGGCCCCATGCACTTCTAGCTTTTTCCTCGCGCTGTATGACCCACCCGGCCAGCAGTGCCGAATGTCAGCACTTCCCCCGCGCCTCCCCTTCACTATCTTTCCCCAATTCAGAAATGAATCAAGCGTGACAATGCCTCGCACCCCCTTCTTGTGCGTGCCTGCCCCAAGCCTTTGACATTGATGCTTTCACACAGGTACAAGCTACCGCGTACGCGAACAGGGCCGGCGCGGGAATGGCGTCTGCAGCACATCAGCTAGCTACAGTAGTCAGGTGAGGACGTGTCTGAGCTTCTGGAGGCACGTCGTCTTCCAAGTCTCGACCAGCCACTGAGTCCAGGTTAGTGAAGCGAACCGGCTTACGACTCCAAGCTGCCATGATCTGCAAGCAAGTCAAGCGGGGAGGGCGCATGTTGACAGCTGAGCCGGTGTCTCATTCAATACGAGCCAAATCTACAAGACTTATTTCTACTTCCTCTGCTCCCGCTCCTGGAAGCCTTCAAGGCATGACGGTCTTTGACCGTGAGCAAGCCACAGCAGATGTCAGGCTTCACAGTGTTACATTGACAACGTAGCAGAGGTCCTATAGGTGGTACCGTCCTACTCTGCCAAGGGGTCCCAGCGCGTTTGTGTCCCTGGCTGCGATCGAACACAGCTCGAAGTGCGCTCTCTGCTTAGGCTGTGTGCAGCGGCCATCATTGAAAGCGAGTAGACGGTTTACGAGCCGCCTGCGTCTGCATCTTACTGCCTTAATGTATGTTGTCCTGTACTGTTCAGCGCGCGTGACTAAGCTTGGCTTCCTGCATACCCTCGAGCGGTACAGAGTTGTAAGAGAAATGCACTCGAGCATCCTCGATACTTGTGGCAATCGCGGCAAATGCGGCAGTCGACCATTCAGCGGTAGCTTCTGCCATAGCTACGTCTGCGGCGTTCTCTGCAGTATTGGGAGCTTTGTCTGCATCTGGAACATCTACTTCAGCGACAGCAGCATCAGTAGTGTCGGAAACCTGAATTGCATCTGTCATATCTTCGTCAGCGGCATGAGGCTCGATGGGAGCGTTGAGATGAGCAGTGTCAACAGAATGCCCAACATCTTCAGTCCCGGTCGCAGCAGCAGTAGCAGAAGCATCTGCAGCAGCAGAAACAACAGCAGCAAGAGCAATTGTGGTCGTGGCAGTAGCAGCACTCGTCGTCTTATCCCTTTCAGCAACAGCAGGCAATGCGGTGACGTCCTCGTTGAACTGAGCATGTCGTCAAGCCATTCGCTCCCTTCTTGACGCAGGGCCCGAGCGAGGTGGGCCAGGATCTGCAACCACAGCATCCGCGGCACCTCCAGATCTATTGTTTGTCTGCCTGCCCTTATTTTTCTTGCCTTGAGCTGCTGCAGCCAGCTTGCTCGCTTCCTTGGCCTCTCTCTCTCTCTCTCGTGCCAGTCCATCGTTCTGCGCTTGCTTCTCATTTGCAGCAGCCATCGCCGCTGCCTTTGCTCTGTCTTCAGCCCCTTAGCCAAGACTCTGGCAGTCTTCCTCAGCGCTCCAGAGTCAGATGGAGAAAGCGGAGGCGTCCTTGTCGCTGGCGTCCTTGCCGCTGGCGTCCTTGCAGAAGCAGAAGCAGAAGCAGAAGCAGAAGCAGGCAAGGCTGGGGCGGCTTTTTGGTCCGCAACAGATGTAGGAGATGTATCCTCTGCCTGCGCAACTTGGCGTGCAGGGGTGGATCTTTCACCAGAGGTTGGAGAGGCGACCTGAGCTGCTGGAGTGGGCGAGGCAGACAACGATTGAGCATTTTGGCGAGGTGCGGGGCTTGGCAAGGCCATTGGCGACTGAACGCGTCGGCGACGTACAGAAGGAGACCTGGCGATGGAAGAAGCAAGGGGAAGCGCTGCTTGAGGCCTTGGCTGGCTGCACTGAGGCATCTCGTAATCAAGAGAGCCAATTGAGGAGCTGCTAGACGACATTCCATCGGCAGCCGGTTCCCCTGCCTCGTCATTGGCCAGGCTAGGCGCCTCTTCAAAGGTCATGTCGTATGCCTGCCTGTCTCCCTGATCGGCGGCGTCCTCAGCTCCATCTCTGCTGTGATCTTAGGCTGCCTGTTAGACGTAGTGTTGATGGCGCTGTGCATGGTCGAGATAGATATGTCGTACTTCTTGCCGATCGCTGCTAGCGTCCAGCCATTGTCTGCGTGCAGTCTAGCCCATGCGCAATCGTTGCGGCGTCTCCTTGAACACGCTTCTTAGAAGACGTCTGGCTTGCGAGGTCTTGCTCGTCTGGCTCATCTTCCGCCTGGTGCAGAGCAGCAGATGGCTGTGTCACAGCCGAAGACGACGACTTGGCCGCGGCTGACGGCTGCACAGAGGATGGCGCTTGCGTGGACGACGAAGGCTGGGTTGGAGGCTCTCCTCTGAGGGCAGGGTGGATGGGTTCGAAGATTCAGATCACGTAACGCTCGAGCGATGGATCAACAAGTGGGAGTCTCTCAAGACGCAAAGAAGCCTCGTCGGTCGAGCGATAGCGCTGGCAGTACGCTGTTATGTCGTCCTCGTTGAGAAGGCTGTCTCAGAAAAATCCATCGTATTCCTTGTGCTTCTTGCCCATGTGCGATTACAGACAGGGAGGTTAAAGCCTGACTCGTCTACAAAGACGAGCTGCTCTGGCTTGTATTCGGCTATCCCAAGGCGGTAGTCGCGCGCCGCTTTTCCTCACTGCGTGCAGTAGCATAGCAATTGGCCATCTTACGAGACAGACGTCTGAGGGTCAAAGCAAGGTAGGACTTGCTGTATTCTGGGAACCCTGGCCTTTCGAGGCTCTGAGCCAGCTGGTCAAGGTAAATGTCCGGTGAATGGCGATGAGGTCTCTGATGGACCCCACAGCCTCAGCAGAGATCTTGCGAGGCCTGCCGAGCTCATAACCAAGCTTCTTGGGTGGGGGGCAGGGCTTGCTGGTTGGCGTCCCATTGCTCCTTGAGGCGATTGGCAGTGCGTAAGGAGAAGGCGCTGTACGAGACGCACTCTTGCAACGTCAGCCGCCCGTCATCCACAAGTCGCATGGCAAATGCCTTCAGAGTGTCGGCTATATGGCGCCTTGGCATGGATATCAGACTGTTTCCAGAGCATACGAAGGAGATTTGAAGGTCTGATATTAGGAGTGAAGGCGACAAGGTGGGATTCTGGGGTCTGGAGCGGTGTGCAGATGAAAGTCGGCCGTATTTGGCTCGATTGGTGTGACGAAAGTCGGATCGGATAGGGCTGTTGGAGCACTACCGCTCGCCGCAGGCAGATTTGAGCAATACTAATGAGATTCTAGTGCTGGGACGCCGAGGAGGTTGGCGAGGAGAGGTAGCATGCATGGCTGCGAGCAAGAAATCTGAGGCGCTCGGATTCAAAGAAGTCGCGGAGGGCCGCGCCGCGCCAGGTTTGGGCAAAGGACAGCCACACCACGCACGAGCCAGGAAGTCCGGGCGCACGGATTCCAGAGTTTCGCGCCGCGCCACGCCGCATCTTGGCAAAGGATTTCCAAGCTGCCCTGCTTCGTACCACATCCTCGCTCCCATCTGGCCACCATGGCTTCTGTACACCAACCCACCACCCCACTCCAAAGTCCTAGACTCCTCCCCAGAGGAGCCGGCACCCACTAACACAGAGCATTGACCAGAGCCCGCACCGACCCCTGTCATCGAGGACCAGGCCACTCCATCAGGAATGGTCCAACCGGGCCAGACGATCATTATTACTGCCCTAGACACAGTGGCGAGCAAGCACAACAAAGACCGTGTAGGCATAGGCGGGTGCAAACGTATCCTCTCTATACTCACCACCCTGGCCGAGGAACTGGCAGACCCGCCGGCAGACACAGTAGGGCAAGAGCCACAAAGGGCACGACTTATACACTCGATACTCGCACCACCAGCCGACACGACAGGACCCGGGGACTGTACAGCATGCCAACAGGGGATTCAAACGGCTGCAGACCTAGGTCCAGGCTGGATCAGTCCACCTGCCAGCGCTTTGGACACACCGCCGAAAACTGTAGAGCCAGCGGTGCACTTTGCCGTACGTGCAGTCTATCACATCACGCAAAGGGTCACCCTCCCTGCCAAGAGTGCGCCAAGGACACGACGCCACGAGAAGAAGGAGAACAGCGAGCTGCATGCACGCACTTCATAAGGTGTGCCAACTGCGGAGGCTCACACCCAGCCAACCACAAGGACTGCGACGCCCCTACGAGGTACCTTATACAGCCGCTCCCAGGCACAAGAGTCACAGCTTGCTTTACATCTTCACGGCAAACTCAAGGGCATAAGGGAGGGTGCTGATTGGTTTCGGACTTAGCGGTGGGATCGTGGCAAACTTGCCGTGAGAACAAAGCAAACGCTGCCTTTTTCCAAAGTCCGGTCACCAGCGCCATTCACCATTCCTTTGAAGCGTACCTGAAACCGCGCAGGCGCGAAGAAACTTTGGGAAGCTTCACTCTAGTGATTACAGTCTTGAGCACTCTGGCTATCGCAGTCATCTCTTCCTTCCCATCACTTCAATCGAAGACAAGCAAGGTCACCATGACAGTCCGCCGACGACCACCGCCACCCTCACCGACATCCCCACCACTGGTACTGCCCTCTGCCCCTCTGCAACCAGGATCCGCCAGCGTCCCTCACGCTTATACCCGTCAAACTTCTGATCTTCGTTCTCAAATGCCTCTTCGACGTACTGGCCTTACGCCACAGCAAATCCGGGTCAATTCACATCATCAAGGTGCGCAAGCTTTGGCATCGACCATAGCACAAGCGTCGGCAGCGGGGGAAGCACCCGTCCGTCCCAACACACCATTCACCACTCGACGAGGACTGCCCCGTCCGCGTCTCACTTTGCCATCCCTCCACGAGGACATAGCAACTAGCGCCAGTGCGGCGCTGAGAGACTTCCCGCCTCTCCAGCGCTTCCCTTCAGGCACACTATTGGGCGCTCGGGACGTTGACGCTCCGGAAGACCTTGACGGTCTTCCCCTCGACATCGACTATGATATGAGTCTCATTGAATTTCTTCAAGAGAGATTGCCACCCCTGTCGCCTTCAGCTCCCCTTCGCCAAACCAACTCGCTCAACTACCAGCAATACTTGCTCCTACAAGCCGAACTTGAGCAAGCAGTGTCGGAATTTCTCTATCCCACCGTAGTAGGGCGGGAAGCCCGCACAGCAGGGCTCTGCCAGTCGCAAGCACGTCTGGAGGACAAGCCTTCACGATAGTTATCCTCCAGCATTTCGGTGAGTGGTCAAGTAAAGCCAGACCAGATGTGACAAGCTGACGGTCTTTTCTCCTCTATCACGGTCTCACTGCCAACCCCAGAGTCACCGCGCTTTTCTTCTTCGCTGCACCTGATTGCTGTATCTTTTCTATCCGTCATTGTGATAACCAATGAAAGTCCTCGACGAACAAAATCAGCTGATGCAGAATCAAGGGTGACGATCAGCTCATCTCCGCTCGACTACTGTATCATTGTCGCGGCGATGCACAACGTGAGCGTGCGTAGGCGTCCAGACTTTGGCTATAGGCTACCCAGCTCTCCCGAGTCCAACTCACGCCCTCAGTCTCGAGCTTTCTAGCACACAGGGCTGCTGGCAGTGTAGAGAGTATGAAGCTTGGCGACACAGCGGTGGAGATACCCAAGGTACTCTTTCATGGAGGGATCTACAAGCAAGGCCGCAGATACTCCCGATTCATTTGAGGCGGGCCAGGCGAGACCTCGCTGTAAGCCGAAGTTTTGCTTGCCGTTTCCGTACCACTCTTTCTGTCTGGGATTGCTCGTAGTGATGGAGTCAAGGCAAGGCAATGAGCATGCACAGCGATGCGGGCCAGTATGGCAGCAAAAGCATCGCCCCAACGCCACAGAAGAAGCACAATGAAGCAGTCAGATCGGGAGGCTGTTGCGCTTCCTGTGTCTCCTCTCTTCTGTACGAGGTACAGCTAGCTACCACCGCGCTCACGGCCCTACTACTATACCTAGTCGCCCTTTCTGCCCTTCTCCCAGACCATTCAAGCCTTAAAACGTCCGCATCTTTGCTGTGTCGAGGACTTCGTTGCCCTCATTCAAGCCCTATCCATCTCATCGCAACGTACAGACATAGCCACCCGCTTTCTTGGTCCAACATTCCAGGCGCAGGCAAGAGTACTAAGCCCAGAAGATACGGATGTCGACACCCATGAAGGAAGGCAGTGCCGTGTGCAAGACCTTGTCGGATCGTCCGTTCCGATCCAGCATGACAGCCACTGCCGAAGCAGTATGTGCAACATCGAGCGTCTCAAAACAGAGGCAGGTCACGGACAGCCTACGCTTAGAGGAGCAGACAGCTCCAATGACGAGGCATCCCGAGCAAGCATCGGATAAAATCCACGCCGCAAGAAAGGCCTCATGGAACAGACATCAGAGTACTACTTCCACCACGACCATCACTAATGTCCGTACGAGTGGGCAAAGACCACGGCATTCTGGATCGATTGCAGCCCTTCCGTCGTGCTGAAGAAGCAAACGACTCTCAGGCGCTGCGATGAGGACGGCCACGGCGAAACGGTGCGGCTGCACAAGGACGAATATACAGTAGGAGCAGTCAATCAAATGCCTGACGCTTACAGAAGGCATCAAGGAGGCGACAAAAGACATCGGTGCCAGCTGGTCCGCACGACAGACTCGACGCTTCTGAGAGATGCTATCGTAAGAGTGAAGGGTCGTGCATTGCGTGGTTCCAAGGGCGTTGTCTGGTGTACAATAGTGAGTGTTAGCCAGAGGTGAATGTAGACGCGTCCAATTGTGCGCCTGCGCCTGGGTTGTGTCCTCGGCACATCACCAAGATTGACTGGCGTTTGATCAAAAAGGGATGGATTCCCGATCTGACTGCTGCTCTGCACTCTTCAGACGAAGCATACTGTGTGGTCTCTAATGCTTTGTCTGACGTGCAGTACTGAGGGAGGTGCAGAGGCAAATGTAGACATGTCCAGTTGTGCGCCTACGCCTGGGTGGTGTCTCGGCACATCACCAAGATTGGCCAGCATCTGGTCAAAGATGAATGGATTCTAGATCTGATTGCTGCTGTGCAATGTTCAAGAGGAGCATATTGTGTCATTACAAGAGTTTTGTCTGATGTGCGATGGTGAGCAACTGCAGTGGGTTGCCACTTCAATGCTTGTGGGAGCGCGCCTGTGCCTGTGCCTGTGCATAAGCTTAAAGGAGTGACCTCACGGCGCGCCCCGGTACTCCATCAGAAGCCCTGCTGGAGTGGCAGAGGATAGCGAGACATTCATCCACTTGCTTCGGGTAACCTAGCGAGCTAAGCGCTCAGCAGAGCCAGCTACCAGCGTCGCTACCGATGCGGCTGCCGCTGATCTCGATCAAGCCACTGCTCCCACTCTTGCTGCCCGTCTCGCCAATACGATGAGGACCTGCAGGCGTTCATTCTCTACTCATACCTCAATGGCGATCTACAAATTCCCCACCCCCCCTCCCCTCTCCTGCAGTTACTGTTGCTGATCCACGGAGCAACCTGATTGCGGCACTTCCCATCGGCCTCTGGAGTCTCTGTGTCAAGGTAGCTCCACAGGACCTCCCGGCGGATGGTATGCCCACTTCGGTCGACACGACGAATACTCGCACAGAGAGAATGCACAGCGGAAGAAGCCCAGTCGTCGTTCGGTTACGACTATTCGATTGGGGCCCACGACGTAACCAACCAACTGCTTGGAGGAGTGGCTGAGCTTTCGAAGGAAGCAAAGTTGCCTACATGGGCATCAACACGCTATCTATGATCGGTTGACAAAGCGTCTGTGAGGGGAAGACGATCAATCTCTTCTTCGCTTTTGGGGGCGAGGGGCCGGGAGGGCACCGTCAATCTTCCAGCTCGCTCTCCTCCCGACGCGGTACAGTTTGATGGTGTTGTACTTTGAATCGAGTGTCGCCCAGGCTTGGCAAGCAGGGCGGTGGGATTCTGTCTGAAAGCGAGCTGCCATCATGATGCGTCTAACGGCTGCCTCTTCTGTCCACAACCCAAGTCGCTTCTGACGTCGTCGAGCCCTCTAGTGCTTCTTCGTCGAGCCTGCCACGCGACACAGCCCGTCATTTGTGGCCATTTGGAGCACCGCTCTGTGTGGCAGTGGAGGCCAAAGCGGTGTACAGTAGATGAGCTACTCTGCTGAGAAGCGAAGAGGGATTACCTTGCGAGCGAGGGATGTGCACTTTCTTGGGGTGTATCAACGCGCTTCCTTAGCAGTCGCAGGGAAAAAGCCAGCCCCGTGACATGGAAGAATTGCCATTGCATCGCCCCAGGATGCTCACCGGATCATTGGCCTGCGATGATATCTGAAAGCTACGCTTGCCGTCCTGCTGTTCCGATCGACGCAGCCAAGTATGTCTCCGCAACAGCGGCCCAGCATGTCCCCTGTGCTGCTTTGCCTTCGTGGCTCACAGGGTCGCCGGCTGGAGTGCCCCGGCCGTGCTCTTGACCTTGCGACCTAGACTCCCTGTTCAGTATCCAGCTCACCAAGAGACCTCGTGCCCTGGCTGCCTTCGACGCAAGACCTCGACAGTGAGCAGGGCGTCTGGGACTTGAGCACCCATGCCAGGGCTAAGCAAGGTGGAACGGCTCTGCTCACTTCGAACTCGTGGCCAAGTCTAGGCAGCCAGCCACCTGCAGCCTGAGAGCCGTGTGAGCCAGACAGTCCTGCTGCTGTACCTCCCTGCAGCACTCATGCTCCTAATCCACCTGCTCTCGGTGAGATATAAATAGCAGTCGCTGCAGCTTCATCAGAGGGTGTCAAAAGGACCCTTTGGTGTTGCGGCTCAGAGGGATGCCACCTCGAGAGAGGGATGGAGCCAGCATTGCCCTCGCTCTGTTCGATGCGCCGGGTGAGGGAGGGAACAGGAGTCAGTCTGCCCCTGAAGACGTGCGCTCTTGAATTCCTGGGTCTTGCCTTCGAATGCTAGTGGAGCTGGTGAAGAGCACGTACTTGTCAAGCCTTGGAATCACAAGTCGCAGCTGGAAAGGCAGCGTGTCGAGGACAAGGGTACCTGGCCTGTAGCACAAGGCCAAAGTCTCCGGTCCGCTGTTGGCAGGTCGCGTGAGGTTGACCGCTAGGTTGTAGCCTTGAATGCCTGAAGCAGGAATGGCATTGAAGCTACCCCTTGAGAGCCTGGCCTAGGCAAAAACAATCTCCATCATCGGACCGGAGACCTGTTCGATCTGTCGGGAAAGGTGAGGCTCGAGGAGCCGGTGAGCTGCTTGTCCTACTGAACCTTAAGTCAAGCCATGGTTTCCTGACTCTGCTGTCAGCTACATCGAGCTCCCAAGGGATCTGTCTTTTGGGATGAGCGGTCCCCTATGGAGTCGAGGTCCTTTGAGCTCAGCGGTGTGCTAGAGACTCCTTAAGTCATAGTTCAGGAGCGAGGTTGACTTCCAGCCTCGCTTCGGGCGGGCGGGCGGCCTGGCAAGCAGAAGGCGCAGCCCTGGTGCAATGGGGCGCGGTGGAAGACCAAGGAGATCAAGGCGCAGACAAGTGGATGGAGGGCAACGGGTCAAGAGCCGAGCCAAGGGGTCCTCTAGGCTTACGTAAGTGACAGCTATAGGATTGTAGGGAATGGTAAGGATGGATGGATACATGGGCGCTGGGGCGACGAAAGCTAAAGGGTGGTGAGGCGAAAACCGGAACGGAATCCAACAGGTCCGTCCATCTATTTGTCCTCCGCTCACGGAAGTGGAACCACTACTGCTCCTCCTCCACTCTTCCACTGGTATCGAGCATCACTCCATCCAGACACTCACGCATTCACACACTTCGATCCCCTACCCTCGCTGGGCTAGCCAGACATCGAGCACACACCTGTCCAGCCCCAGAAGAGCCCACCGAGGCCAATTCCAACAACACACAGCAGGCAGAGTCAGGCCAAAAAGGCCCCGAAGACGCAAGACCGCACCCCGACGAAAGCCTCAGCCCTAGCCAGATCATAACAGCATGCTAGTGGCAGAAGCCTCCGAGACCGAAGTCGGCACCATGAAGAGTGGCAAAGGCAGGCTATACACCAGTCCAGACACTTCGCCAAACACCTCCCCGGGCAGCGGACCCAGAGGCAGACCAGTAATCATCTTGAGAGCATCCGCTCTTGCAAAGGACCACGAAGTCCGTACCAGCCCGACGGCAGAGCTCCACGAGGAGATAGCAGCAGCACTCCACAGGACCCTCAAGATCAAACCCCTCGCAATGCGTCGGCTCACCAGCGGAAACTTGGCCGTAGAACTCAACATCGCATCCGAGGTACTCTGAGTGTTCGACGCCGACCACCACTGGAGAGAGAACGCCTTTGAGCACATCGAGGGAGAGCTCCTCAATTCTTCAGGCCGGGTGCTCAAAGCGCGAGGTCATTGGTAGCCCATGGAAGCTCGTGCAAAGTTACAGAGGAGCAAATTCTACAGGCCCTACACCAGGCGACGGACATCGGCGTCAAGTCATGCCGGTGGCTCATCGGCGCAGGAAGGAGAGACAAGTCGCACGGGTCCTCAGTACTGATGGGGTTCGCTACGGAGGATGACCGAGGCGCCATCCGCAACAGAGGCAGGCTAGGCATCCACAACGAGGTCGCCTACCTGGACGATTACAGGCCCAGACCCCGCATCGACCAATGCACGAAGTGCCAACAGTATGGGCACAAGATCGAGAACTGCAAGTCAGCCGTACCGAGTTGCAGGCTGCGCGCACTACCTCATCTGACCCAAGACCACACGGACTGCGACCAGTGTGAGGACTGACGATTTGACGGCAGCGGAGAGGCGAACAAGAAGCGATGTACACTCTACGAGATCAAGTGCGCGAATTGCGGAGGGCAGCAGTATGCAAGCAGCCGTCAATGCCCGGCAAGACGTCGCATTGAAACAGTATCATGGACACGTTAAGTTCCCTACAAATCTTTCAGCTCAGCTGCCACAAGTCTGCTCTTGTGATGCATGCCCTGCTAGACAACGAGGAGGTCGCTGAGCAAGTAGATGTACTCTACCTACAAGGTCCTTTCTCCATGTACACTAATCCCCTCTGCCATCATCGTTGGCGACCCTATGGGATGATCGGGCCCTCCCCGGAGGAGCCAGGATTCCCTAGAAAGAGACCATATCCACCGCGCACAGGATCTCTAACATACATCCACCAACAGGTCCGTCAAGCAGACGTCACCCTCATCCACCAGATGCACGCCGACATCGTGGCTGCTGCTCGGATCAGGGGGCCCCAGGTCGGTCTTCACGTCGGTGTTTCTGCAGCTCCTCGCGTTCTTCCTGCTTGAAGTTGATGAGGAGAGGATCATGATCTGGAGCTCCATTCCCTGTCATCCCCGAGATAGTGGCCTTCGCGACATGGTCGTCGAGCGGGCGGACGAATTGTTGACGCAGCGCAGCTGCGAAGAAGTCTTGGGAAGCGTCTATGTACAAGAAGTACTTCTTATCTTTGCGTGGGTAGGCACGGGTGGCTAAATCGGCTATCTCGATTCATCTGATCGAGGCACTTGACCCTATCTGCTGTCCAATCAATGAGGACGTCCTTGGCTGACAGCTTGTTACCATTTTGGTCGATAATTGCACCTTTCTTTTCCCATCTGATGCCCTCTTTTCCCATCTGATGCCCTCT